ACTGTTTATCCAGCATAATTTGTAGTTGGTCTGTATTTGATTAAATATGATCATCTTTTATGTACAAGTTACATAAGTAAATAGAAAAATCCTTTACAGTCCAACGCCTCATGCAAAATTAATCTCAGCTGTGTCCTTGCTGCGCACTCTGAGTTGCTGGGGACATGTGGTTAATTGAATATGGGAGGGGACGGGTGTCATCTGAGGTGAACTGTGAAACTTCACTTCTTCATTTTAATACGTTGGAAGCTTCAAAATTTTCCTGTGAATGTGTGGATTTAAAACTATTGTTGATGGTGATTTCATCAAGTAAATCTTGTAGGAGCTTCAGAATAACAAATTATTAAATATACTGCTCAACAGGAAGTGTCTCTGGGGAAATTACTTCCTTAGTTGTAACATTCTCAGCGTTTGACAGCAGCAACTCTGCATTCACTGTCAGCCGAACACAGGGTGATCTGTTCTCAAGCTCCTGCCTGGACCTCAGTCTCCAGGGAAGAGGGGAGGTGGCTGTTTCCATCGGAGCTCAGGCCCCACTCGCTGCATGGGTGGGACCTCCTTCCCTGGCTGGTGTACCCCAATCCTGCCCAGAGACTGTGTCAATAGCCACATGGGAGGGGACCAAGCCGAGGGCCATACAGGGAGGTGGACACAGAGAAAAGTCCTCTTTCCGGGAGCTTTTGGAAAGCCCAGATTCTAGAAAAGTTGTGAAGCTCTGATCTGCTTTGGACCTGTGTCCCACCCAAATCTCCCTTCAAACTACAATCCCCAGCATCGGAGGTGGGGCCTGGCGGGAGGTGACTGGATCACGGGGGTGTATTTCTCAAGAATGGTTTAGCACCCTCCTCTTGGTGCTGTCCTTGTGATAGTGAGTGAGTTATCATGAGATCTGGTCATTTAAAAGTATGTGGCACATCCCCCTCTCTCTCTTGCTCCTGCTGTGAACATGGGATGCACCGGCTTCTCCTTGGCCTTCTGCCATGATTGGAAGTTTCCTGAGGCCTCCCCAGAAGCTACCAGGGTTCCTGTACAGCCTGCAGAACCATGAGCCAATTAAACCTGTTTTCTTTGTAAAAGACCCAGTCTCTGCTATTTCTTTATAGCAATGCAAGAAGGTGTTTGCATGGGGTTTAAAAAAGTACTTCAAAGCTATTACTATCCAGGATATGTTGTAACAGGGTACTTTTAAAGCCTGGAGCGCCCATGCTCCCAGTCTTACTCCCTCCTCCCATGAGTTCCCTGGGACTGCCACAACAAAAGACCACAAACTGGTGACATCCAACGGCAGAAGTGTCTTCTCCCAACCCTGAGACCAGAAGCTCAATGCTGAAGGATGTCCAACAGCAGGAGTATCCTCTCCCGGCCCTGAGACCAGCAGCTCAACTCTGAGGAACGTCCAACCACAGAAGTGCCCTTCTCCAGCCCTGAGGCCAGCAGCTCAATGCTGAGGGATGTTCATCAGCAGAAAGACACTCTCTCACAATGCAGAAGCTGAAAGCTAAGGTGTTGTCAGGACCACACTCCTGCCTGGGACTCTGGAGAGGATTCTTCCTGCCTCTTCCAGTCTTTGGTGGCCCCAGACAGTTTTGGCTTGTGGCTGTGTCACTTCCATCTCTGTCTTCATCTTCAAGTGGCCTCTCCACTCCTCCACTGGTGTCCCCAGGTGGCCTCTCTGCTGCTCCTTGTGTCTTATAAGGATGATTGTCACTGAATTGGGGGCCCAGCCAGGTAATCCAGGATGATCTTATCTTGAGACCCTTTACTTAATTACATCTGCAAAGACTTTTTTGTTTGTCTGTTTCCCAAATAAGGTCACAGTCACAGGCTCCAGGTGGCCATTTCTGGGGCATGAATCAGCCTCCAAACCTGCTGTTCTCACAAGGGGTGCTGTAGATGCTGATTCCACTGAAGTTGGTCTCCAGCTGAATCCAGGGGAGATTCATAAAGGTAGCAGGCATCACTGGGGAAAGACTGACATTATATTTGCAGCATCATTTGAAGGTGAAACTGTTGAATTTTTGATGACAAAATTTTTTGTTTCTTAAGCCGATAAATTTTCTTAAATTTTGTTGCTTTTGTTTACTAAAAGGTAAAGAAAAACCTTTTGCTGTGTGACGGTTTTTTCTTATTGGAAGTTCATCTAGGTAACCTGGAAGTTAAACCCCATAAAAAATGTTTGAATTTAATTAGACACAGCGTAAGGAACCAATTTTAGAGAGACTATTAGACCGTGATTACATACAACATTTCTTTTATATATTTCCTTTCACAAATTTTAAACTTACACAGACCATCTACAGCATACTTGAACTTTCTGAGTTGTCCTAAACATCTCTCTTTCTTAAACAACCAGTTATTTTACTTAGGACAAGAATTTACTGTACAAGATTCTTTTTCATATAAAATCTCTTTTTCATAGCCTTCCTTACCACAAATACCTCTTTACCTTTATAACCTTTGAATGAGACAAAGTCGTTTTTATTCTCTTAGGAAGTTGGGGTTTGTGCTGCCTGTTGCTGTGTGCATCCTGTGAAGAGGAAGCAGATGGAGAGGTTATCCCCACACCATAGAAGTTATTCCCCTCAAGAGATTGCTCCGTTAGACTTCTTGCTAG